CAGGATATGGCTCCAAAAGATGTTGGCTTTTATCAGTATTGTGTGGCAATTCTTACAGCTGCTGCCCGAGCTCGATTTGGTCCTTGTGCACATACAATGCCCTGATATGCGCTGCAAATAATATGAACTCATGTGTAATTGCATTGATAACCCAAGTTGTTGTTGTTGTTGCCGTGACTGCTGTTGTGGCTACGGTTGCAGTTCGGTTGCCAACTTTGGCGAGACCGCAATTAGCATGATTATTATGGCAGGCAGTCGGCAGCAGATAGCTTTCGCAAACAGGATATACGTGCTGGAGCTTTGATTATGCAACATTTGCATAGCAGTTCATAAAATCAAAACATAATGAAGCACACTCTATTAATCCGAATACATGTTTGCTGTGCATAATAATATCTAAGTCATTGCTCAGCCATTCCAGCTGCTTGCACAATTTTAAAACTCATGCTTTTGACAACTGGAAATCCACTTATGCAACATCAAATTCATCACTTATCAATGCCAGACAGTACATCAGATTGCAAGGGCATTTAAATTCATGGAATTTGCTCTGATAATGGGGCTGAAGAAAAGAATAAGTTCTCGCTACTTTGACATACAACTTTTGAATGCAAGCCGTCTGTCTCTCTGTCTGTCTGTCTGTCCCTGTCTCGCGGTCTGATTGTCTTTTGTTTCCTTAAGCAGTTTTCTTGTACGATATGCAAATGTCAAATGAGCTCGCTTTTGTCAGACTTAGACAACATGACGTATGCGTGACAAGCGCAAGAATCACTGAAAATGAATACAACACATTGGCAAGCAACCACACACAAACACATATAATACACGCACTGCACACACATATGCATAAAGCACCCTGCGTAAAACTTTCTTTAAACATATTTCAGCTGCATTTTTCGTAATAAGACGAGCTTTTTTTATTTTTAATTTTTTTAATAAGACGCAGCTACAACAACAATAAAAACAACTGTTAGCTGACATTTGAAGTATTGGCAACGACAGTTGAAAGGTCGAGGCCGATGCACCTGTGCGGTTTGAATAAAATTATTTGCAGACAAATAAATGTGCAAAGGTATTATTTTAATCACTTGACAGGTCATCATGACTGGCAGAAAATGATACCAAATTAACTTTCTAGCTGGTAATTAAGCCAACAGTTTGTTATTCATTGACCTAACAAAGGGCTTTAGAATGATGTCTGAAAGGCAGCGAATACACCTCGAAGAGTACCCGGGCTAACGATCAGAACGAAGAGCTGTTACTCTCTCATGATATCGGCTGAATCGGACTATTAAACATTTGTATATAAGAAGGAGTTGGAAAATTGTCGAGTCTTGTATAATACAAGTAATATATAATATAATCTTATATTATAACAACAATATATCATATTCTATTAACAAAATATAACAGCAAGTTCATTAAACTATCCGCAAGGGTATATGCTATTCGGCAGTCCGATATTCGGCTCACTTTTACATTTTTACAATTTCGTAACTGGCATAGAAAAAATGTTGTTTTTGTTCATTCAGGCATAGGCAGCCACACAAAAGACTGGCAAGCCGAGGGCAGAGAGTGAAGAGTCAAGATTAGAGAGAGCAGAGTCGCTTATGTCCTTATGACTGTCCTTAGTTTTCAGCTGGCGGAAATTTGTTAGGATATTAGCTGACAGAATGGCAAGTCTGGCAAAATATTTACAGCATGTAACTAACTGTATTTATGTTTGTATTCGTATTTGTAGTGTTGTGTTTGTACTTTGTATACATGTAGAGTCATGGCCAAGGGCCAACAGACGTGCTGCAAGTGGCATAAACATCAGCCCAACTACCCCCAGCCTCTCCCCTTGCAATTTATGCCACGCTGTGTCCGTGACTCAACTGTTTTATGAAACAAAATGATAAAAATAATGCGTTTAGTTAAAAGCAGCAGCGTTTAAGTCAAAACTGCAGCTTCAAGCAATTAAAGTTGTATTTCATGTAAGCGACCTTAAACATTGAGTGGGCGTGGCAACTCATATGCATTATGTATACGACTTTAAGTGTTGCACAGCGTTCAACCCACACGTCCCTAATGGCCTGGTGCTGCCTTTGAGGGAGCATGCGCCCATCTATTATCATCGTTGTGAACTCTGTTGCTGTTGTTAGCTTGCGAGGAGCGTCGCTGCTTGGGAAGCGACAGTTGTCACTTATTGTTGTTGTTGTTGTTGTTGCCAGGAAAGTCGCATAGCTGATGAGAAATGCACAATGTTGCCGCGTGAGAGCGCATCATGATATAAGTTAATTGCAAATGGTTTAATAAAGAAGGTAGCAAAGCCGGAAAGAAATAGTTTGTGTGTATGAGGGAAAATGTATATGTATGTATCGTTTTTCATCTCATTTTCATCCATATTCTAAATTAATTTTGCAGGCAGCAGATAGATAAGCTGCTCATAAAGAACAGATGGCTGAAGAAATACACAAGTTTTTTTTCCACTCAGCTGACGACTTCATGTTTAAAAAGTGTAACAAAACTGTAAGAAACTGAGTTTAAAATTGTATAAAGCTAAAATAGTTGTGGAAAAATTGATATACATATATTCAGGAGACATTTGACATTTGTTTCAGCTAGATTTTGCCAGCCAACAAATGAGCTTATTCCTTTGTGCTTATATACTGGATTGCCTCGTGATTCGTACGCATCCTGTTCCGTCATGTTATATAATTATATCCTTTAAGCGTCCCATTTAAGCATCTATAATCTATAAGCATCTCAATTGTAGCAGCTGCTGCTGAGTATCTACGCAATCGCTTTACACACTGAAACTCCAATCACAATTTTCTGCTTTCCTTCGCCATCTTTTCACGCCAATATCAATTCAATCGAACAAATTTCCGTCAATTTGCAGCTGCTTTTTAAAGACAAAACCCGGCTGTTGCGCTTATTCAGAATATAGCTTCATCATTCACGATTTCACTTACAGTACACATTTTTTATTCGTTGGCCATTTAAAAAACAATTTAAAACAATGCCAGTGTCCTGGGAGCGCCCTGTGTAAACAACAATGGCAAAGAAAATTCAACTTTTTGCTTACACGAAAATAAATAAAATGCAAAAGAAAAAAAACAAAGAGAAGGGGCTGACAAACTGTAAGTAAATTTGAAAAAACGTTAAGCAATGCTCGCAAACAAAATCAAATCAATAATTGTCATCGATAGCATTAAATGCATATGAATTTATGTGTCTCGACAATGCTCGGGCTTTAAGCCTGACCAGGTGATGCACGCTTCAGTGCATAAATCAAGTGTCGAAGCTAAACGAAGTTAATGCAGGAGCAGAGACATAAATAGTCTTCCAACAGCTCAGAGGATGCACAATCCTTCGATTTGACTTGTCGGGGCCATTTTTCATTGTTCGCCCATTGACACGAACGCAATGCCAAATGGTTTCAGTGACTGCGATTTGTGGCAGTGTATTGGCTGACCATTTCTCTCTGGCATTGGCATTCATTCAACTTACCTAAGCGCAAATCAGTTGCCTCTCCAATTGCTGATGTCCGATGGGCATTGTACTTGTTGTGGCCTGTGCGCATTGGACTGTGCACAAATGAAAATCTGTGGCACATTTGTGTTATTAATAGGCTTTTCATGCGAAAAATTAAGATCTTGTTGTTGTGTAATTGATTGCGTCGGTGTGTGAATTCATACAATACTTTGTCTGCCACTCGTTGGCCAATATGTTAAGCCCGGCGATTGGCTATTCAATATAATCAGATGCTTTGATTCGAGTCTTTTCATTGTTGCAAAAATCATAGCATACTTTTGTGCGCCGTCAAGCAAAGCAGCCGCCGTTGTCCTTAATTAATCATTTCATTTGTCATACCATTACACACGCACACACACATGCACGGCTCTGTGTGTGTGTGTGTTTGTAATTAAAAGCAAATAAATACGCGCTCTCGGCTACACGTAGTTCTTAGAATTTTGTGTTATGAATGTGCCAGAGCTGCGGGCAAGTGTGAGTGTGTGCATGGAATTTAATTTCAGTTGTAGCAAATTAATTAGACTAATTAATTAACTGCTGCACGTAATAAGCTAGCGAGAATATTAAAACAGTATGTTGAAACTTTTAACTTAACAAGTTTTGAGAGCCTACATATTTACCCAATTGTAGCTGCATTTTACAAATTGAAAACCTTCCAAAAATGAATCAATAAATTGTAATTAAGTTAAAAGCACACAACATTTCATTGCACACACATTGTTTGCACATTTGAAATATGTTATAAAACAATTATAAATCATAAGCCTGCATATTTAAAGAGCATTGTTGTTGTTGCTGCTGCGGTTTGGCATGCCAAGGAACGTGTTAATTGCAGTTGCCTTAACCTCAGCGTTAGCCCGACACCCAAGCCGGCAGCCGAGTGCCGCCGTTTCCGCAAATGCAATTAAAATCTCTAGGAGCAGAAAATGTGGCAACCGCAACGAGTGCTAAGCAAAGCACATGACAGATAACAAATAGTTGAGCACGGGAACATAGGAGATTTGAGTAAGGCAGATAGACGACAGTCACAGATACAGCGGCATTGCAAGATGGATAGCATTTGCCAAGGAATGCCATTTGTCTGCGTGTACTGCAAATACAAATCTAATTTAGCCCTTAGCGGCGGATAGAATCTACGGCAAATATGCCATACAACTACGGTACGTCTGGGTCAGCTGCAGTGGCAACCATTTTTATGACGGGCTTTAAGTCTAATTTAGATGCGCTGCAGCTGGCCATTGTGCCAATTAAATGGGAGCTCGGCATGTTCTAGCTGCCACTTGTTGTGAGCAGCATGAAAATGTTGCTGCACTTTGCTAATCGGCTTAGGGCCTGACTAAGTGGCAGGCGCCCGAGGCGCATGATGAAATATTTAAGTAGTTACGGCACATGTGGCGTATACGCTACATTCTACGACTTGCATTAATTATACGCCATGTTAAACGCTATCTAAATTTCTTCTATTCTATTTGCAGAACGTGGCGGAAATTTCAAATATATTTAATTATTAATGCGTCTGCGCGCAACGCATTTAATGCACAAGCAGCCGCCGCCGCCGGCCTTGGCAGTCGCGGCTGCATTGACTGCAGAGCGGCAACAGTAGAGCTTCAACAATAACAACAGCAACAAAAACAAGGACATCAAGAAGCAGCAGAACAACAAGAATAACAACAACAATGGCTGGTGGCAGCAATGATACCACGCCGCTCTATTGCGGCACGGGCACGGATAATTTTCATACGAGGTAAGTTTGCCAATGCCAATGCCAGTGTCTGCGCCTCGAGAGCTCCACAAGGACAGATGACAGTACACGCCAGGATATTTAAGTGTTAATGCTTTGCTGCTTAATGTCATCAAAAATCGATTAATGTATCGTAATGCCATATATTTTTTGGGCCGCCTTTGTTTCGATTTTGTACCACAAAGTGCCATAATTCGCGTCGTCAATTACTTGGAGGATTTTTAGATGCACGACAATTGTTTGTGAAGACAATTTTATGACAGCAACAACAGATATAAAAATTATATGCAATTAATGTATATAAAAGCGGCAGGAAATATTTATGTTTATCGCATGCTCAGCGCTCGTAAAGTGAGAAATATATGTAGAAACCAAATGTAGGAAAGAGCAAATAAAAATGCTCGGGTCGAGAGTGCCGGACTTATAAGTACCCAGAACCGGAATAGCTGGGCAGCTGCTGTGCTTCTTCCGCTTCTCTCGAACACGCAACTTGAAATATTTATTGCAAAATATCTTAAGTGTTATTTTTCCCAATTTTTATTCAATTTTCACAGCTTTAAGTCACAGTCTGAAATGTGTAAATATATTAAAAAGCAAGCGAGCGAGCCAGGTCTTCAAATAGTGCAATATTCGAAATGGATGTATGATAGGAACTACATGACAAACTTGGATCTTGTCTCTCAGACAAAACCAGGCTAAACTCCAACAGGAACATTACTCAACAGGCAGAAGATTAACAATTGTATCGAATCTCGAAAAGGCAATATTTTTGTATGAATGAGTATATATTTGTTTGTGTATGTATGTAAGTATGTATGTATTTACGTGTGCATGTATTTACGTGTGCTTATATATGTTTATGTAATTTGGTGTGTATGACACTATGAATTTGATGTGCAGGCATAGAAGTATGCATGTATGTGAATGTGTTTGTGTGTGTATGTTTATATGCATGTATAACGTGTATGTGTTTACACATGTATGTAAGTATATATGTATGTATGTTTGAATTATTGTCTGTAAGTATACAAGTATTTTGCACTAAGACATATTAGAATTATATATGTGTGTGAGTGTATGTATGTATGTGTGTGTGTGTGCGGGCGTATGTGTGTTAGTATATGCATGCATTTATGTATATATGTTCGCTTGCATGCTTGTTTTCTAATACCAAACGCAGACCAAGTTTATTTGTCGCTAAGCTGCCAATTTAAATAAAACGAATTTCTGCCAAGTGCTCTCCTCCTCGATTCTCAAGAATTCAAGTAGGCTCTGCAGTTTTTCATGTATAGCTGATGGTTTAGTGTTTTTTTCCTGTTCTTCTTTTGTTTTGTAAGTATGTGTATTTGTTTGTTTGTATGTATGTATGTATGTATGTATGTTTGTATGTATATATGTTTGTATGTATGTATGTATGTTTGTATGTATGTATGTATGTATGTATGTATGTATGTATGTTTGTATATATGTATGTATGTATGTATGTATGTATGTATGTATGTATGTATGTATGTATGTATGTATGGGTGTATGTATGTATGTGTGTATGTATGTATGTAAGTATGTTTGTACGTATGTATGTATGTATGTATGTATGAACGTATGTATGTATGTACGTATATATGTATGTATGTATATACCTATGTGCGTATGTATATATGTATGTATGTAAGTATGTAAGTATGTAAGTATGTAAGTATGTAAGTATGTAAGTATGTATGTATGTATGTATGTATGTATGTATGTATGTATGTAGGTATGTATGTACACATGTATGTATGTATGTATGTATTAACATATGTACATCACATAAGGTAACTACACTGAAAATTTCAGCTGCCTAGCTCTTTCGGTTGGGCTGTGGTTTGTCAGCAATCAGTCAGTCAGTCTAAAGAGATACTTTTTATAAAATTCAGCTTAAACATAAAATTAAGTAAGTCCTAAACAGCTTTTAGGATTTGTTTATTGGCTTTTAAAAATAAGAATGCAATCACCTTTATTGTCCCAGAAAGTACATAAAAATAAAAAACAGTGTTGATTAATTGAGCTATAATAAAATCACATTTATTAGACATTTAGATTCAGCTTTGTTATTGAGAACTTAACGCTCTATCAATTTAACATTGGATAACCATTTAAATTTAATAGTCTCTGGTGCTTAGCACACGTGCCAGGCAATAAAAAACAGAGCACATGTGCATAGCAAACAGTTGCTTGCAATACGAATAAAAACTGTAAGCCTCCAGCATTTGCCTACTTACAACAGCAAACAAATATTTAATATGCCCTTTTTATTAGGGGTTTTTGTTGTTTTTTAGTTTGCAGCAGCCGGAGCATTCAAATTATTCCCGAATTTTTACGGTCGAGTTTAGCGACTCGAGCCAAAAATGTAGGTGGGTGCAGTTTTCGACAGCAGCTTTCGTTTTGGATTTGGCCCCCAGGCGAGCTTTGTTTGTGATGCACGAAAGCGCGGCAAGTTTGTGCCTTTCCGTTCGTCGTTTGCACTTCAAAAAATTAAACTTAACGCAAAGTGTGAGGCACGTCAAGTGTGTAGCTCAGCCACAGGCGTCCTTAAAGCTGCCATACGCGTCTACTCGCAATTTAAATGCTCTACTAGATCCCTTGGCATGCTACCATAAACATGTATATCAGACGGAAAAGCCAGCTACTGCTGCTGCTTTGCTTGCTTCAGGTAAAATGTTTACTGTTTACCTTTCTCATCTCACTTTTTGCTACAAAAAACAAACACGAATTTTCCAAAATCAACAAAACCAAAGCGTTAGCTGATCATTTATAAAAGGATTCGAAAATATTTACTTGTACTTGCATTGTTTCAAGTAATTGTAAATATTACCAAAACAAAAAAAAGGTAATATTTTTATTTACTTTTATCTAAATACCTTACTGTTCTGCATACCCTGTACCCCTTGAAAGTTTTGAAGGGTATTATTGTTTGGGGGACATGTGTGTAACAGATACAAAAGAAATGACATCACTAACCCTATATAGTATGAATATATGCTTGGTCAGCATCAATAGCCGTGTCGGGCTTGCCATATTCTTTCCTCAGTCTGTTAGTTTTTCGCGTTTTTCTCAGTGTCTGTTAGAGCTACAAACTTGCAAATTACCTATCATGTTATAGCTAAAACTGTTGGCAATAAAAGCCCGGCAATCATAAGCTAAATATGAGAATAAAATATTGAAAATATAAAAATGAAAATATTGATAGGAAGAAGGATAAAGGGACATATAAGAGACTAGGATAGGACTACCCTATCCAATGTGTCTGCTAGGGTATTCACACCTCGGTTCTGCAATAAGAGCTGTTACTTATATAAGTGCTTTATTCTCTGCTCATGTTAACCCAAAAACTAGTAAATGTAAACAAGTCCCCAGTCGTAAGCTTGCGTAGACCATATTTTGGGTAGCAAACAAATAGCTGGAAAATGTGCCCGAAAGGACCACAAAATTTCCGATCTCTTGTTTACACCTTTTTTCAATTAAGCAAAGTAAAATGTAGCAATTATGAAGGAAGGATCTACCAACTGGCAACGCGGTTTTTGAAGTGGTCGAGATATATGCATGCATATGTATGTACTCACATCTGTGCGAAGTCTTAAAACTTTAAAGAAAACAATTCAATGCTAAGGTATGCGTCTATGTTGCCATTCATCAACTAGGATTACCAGCAGCAATAAATTAAACTAAGCTAGGTATTCTTTATTAGGCGAACACAGCGGCAGCCAGGACCAGAACTTGGCCAAAGAAAACGCGTCTGAAATGCGCGACGGCCAAATGTCTTTGATGAATGGTGCTGTAAAATTCGCCCAAAAATGAAAAAAGCTTGTTTAACTGCAGCTGCGATGCTGGCGGGCGGCGCAGGACACCTGCCTGGACATGTCCTTCAGCTGTTCCATTGTCCCCCAATGACAATCACAACAAACGAAAAAAAAAATAGAATCGCTTCAATTTCGCACTCAATTCCAGGCTGACATGGAATACGTCAGACTAAAACTAGTTAAAAGCTATTGCAAAAAGTGCCACAGCGACAAGCTGTCTATCACAATTGAATGAATTTTTTCTGCTTTTGTAGCAATTAATTTATTATTTCTTTTGCTTGTCTATTCGACCCTTTTTTTGCGAAACAAAATGTTTAACTTATTGTCAAAGCAGGAGCTGCGAAATGAACATGATTATTATTCATGTTAATTGCTTGTTTTATGCCAGTGTCAAAGTTTGACTACAGCCGAGCCATTAATATTACGCATACGCCGCGTTGCCAGGACAGTTGACGCCATAAAGGGTTGCACTTGACTGACTTTTTGAAGTTTTTATGTGCGCGTGTCTGTTCGTCTGTCTGTCTGTCTGTCCGTCGAGCTGTCTTTATGCTTGTATACGACTGTTGACACATTGGCGCTACAATTTTTCATGTTGTGTGAGTGCGCCCTTGAGTGACTAACTGAGTTTGAGGCCGTCTGGCCGTGACAGGACACTCCAAGATTTAGCTTTGGTCTTCGGCAATTTGGCACGTACCTATTTGACATACAAAGCAAATGGCCAAGTGTTAGATACACATCTAATTACTAAAGCAGACAGGCAGGCCCTAATCTAAGCATCCACATTCCAATCGTCAGCCACAGCAGCAGCATCTTGATGCCACACTCTGTGGCACATAGCAAGCATTAATGTTTTACCACACGCAGGCCCGGCTAATTAAAGCGAAACCCACACGTTTCTTTGAAGCTTTATTATTTCCAGACAGGTATCTAAGGCAGCTTTAACCCTGAAGTTTCTTTACAACAGCAAATAAAACGGAACTTTTTTTCAACATTTTCATAATTCCCAAGACAATTTTACTAGGCATATTTAGTAGTAGGCAATTTAAACCGCGTCTTGTATATGAATAAACAAGGTATAGGGCCAAGCCTGGGATGTGAATGGGATTTGAAAACCGAGGTTTAGGTTTGGGAAGTCGATTCGAACCGTATGTTAAACCCTGGCAAATGCATAAGCTTAACCTATTGACATATAAATAGAATATTATCAAGGTTAATTAAATGATTTTGTATGCATGCCATCTCTCTCTCTCTCTCTCTCTCTCTCTCTCTCTCTCTCTCTCTCTTCCTCTCTTCCTCTCTTCCTCTCTCACTTTCGTTACAGCTACAAGAACATGCATGGCTATGTCTCGCTGGTGGTCTGCATACTGGGCACCATAGCCAACACACTGAATATCATCGTGCTGACACGTCGGGAGATGCGTTCACCCACAAATGCGATCCTAACGGGCTTGGCTGTGGCCGATCTGGCTGTGATGTTAGAGTATATACCATATACGGTGCACGATTACATACTGAAGGATAGCCTGCCCAGGGAGCAGAAGCTGAGTTATGGTTGGGCCTGCTTCATCAAGTTCCATTCGATCTTTGCGCAGGTGCTGCACACCATCTCCATCTGGCTTACAGTTACGCTGGCTGTCTGGCGGTACATTGCGGTGGGCCATCCGCAAAAGAATCGGGTGTGGTGCGGCATGCGCACCACCATAATAACCATAACAACAGCCTATGTGGTTTGTGTGCTGGTGGTTTCACCCTCACTGTATCTGATCACGGCCATAGCAGAGTTTATGGATCAATTGGATGTGGAGGGCAATCTGATCAGTAGCATACCCATGAGTCAGTATGTTATTGACTATAGAAACGAAATGTCTGCTGCCCCAAATGCCACGCCCACTAGCCCCACAGCCAATGCTACGCAGTGGTTGAATATGAGCGTCTTGGCCACAACGCCAGTGCCACCAACAGCCGTGCCGCCCGCCTCTTTGGTGGTGCGCAACGTGACCGTCTATCGGCTGTACCATAGCGACCTGGCGCTGCACAATACTTCCCTGCTGACTGCAACATTTCTGATTTACAGCGTGCTCATCAAACTGATACCCTGCATAGCGCTGACCATACTCTCGGTGCGGCTCATTATGGCACTGCTCGAGGCAAAGCGACGACGCAAGAAGCTCACCAGCAAGCCGGCAGCCAGCAACGGCACCAAGACTTTGGTGAACGGCAAGGCAGCGGAGCGACCGCGCAAGAATAGCAAAACGCTGGAGAAGGAAAAGCAAACGGATCGCACCACCCGCATGCTGCTGGCGGTGCTGTTGCTGTTCCTAATCACAGAGTTTCCGCAGGGTATTTTGGGACTGCTGAATAGTGTGCTGGGCAATGACTTCCTCATGCAGTGCTATTTAAGACTGAGTAAGTGTGCGCTCCGTAGATTAATCTTTGGCTATTCAACATTCGCTCAATTCTTTAGGTGACCTTATGGACGTACTGGCTTTAATCAATTCTAGCATCAATTTCATACTCTATTGCACCATGAGCAAACAATTTCGCAGCACATTTACGCTGCTCTTTCGACCCAAGTTCCTGGACAAGTGGCTGCCGGTGGCACAGGATGAACTTGCCGCGTCAAGGGCCGACGGACTGCAGCGCTCTGTGGTGGCAGCGGCGCCTGACAAGTGCCAGTCGACGCACAAGCTGCCACAAGTGGTGACGCTTGCCGCAACCACAACGACAAACAATGCCACCGAAGTGACGAATCTGTAGCACGAGCAGCAGCACCCCAAGCAGAAGCAGCACCAGCGTTTCTATCCAAAACCGCCAATAGAGCGCACATGCAGCCAGGTGGCTGTTGCCAACACTACTGGAGGCAATCCTTTGAAGCGTTGCTTGTCAGCAGCTAAGCTGGCAGCGCAGCCCACGGCGCCGTACCACGCCATTGTCGTGGTTGTGGACAGCAGCAGCGGTGCCCTAGATCATCACCTGTGCACGCCCATTGTCAGTGCCAGTGCCACCAACAGTTCCACTCGTGTCGCGTAGTGTTGAGCACACAAAGCGGTTGGCTGCTTATGTAAATTTAAAGTTCAATAAGTCTTGTTGTTTAAGCGTGTTTGGTCCAAATCTACAATTTACGGTTGATAGGTTATTTTGTGGTGCGCACAATAAACTATTGCATATATATTAGAGCATTTTGCATAACGGCAACAACAAAAAATACAACAATAAAAAATTGATACTAACGCGCAGCACTCATACGCACCGTTGGTTTCCCCCACAGCCAAATGTTTGTATGTCAAGCAGCAGTACTTTACAGTTCAGTGACAAATAAAGAGAATATCCCAAAAAACTGTTGTGTGCACATGCAAGAGTACACGTAACGTCGCCCCAGCCCCTCCCACAGCCCTCCCCCGTTACGCTCCTGTCAAATGCAAATCAAACAGGATGACAAAGCGTACATAATGCGCTTATGTATGTATTGGATTTTGATTTGCATGCCCCAAAAAATAGCTGCAAGAGTTGTGCGCCAAGAAAAAACGTCGATTTTTTTTTCATAGCAACTGTTCAATGTTATCGTCGTGTATATATTCACAGCTATTAAATGAAAATAGAAAATAATATATTAAAACGTATTTAAATATGTATAGTTAATCAAAATTTATTTTTCCTATATATATATTGGTTCAAATATGCAGTGACTGCGCAAATATTTGTTGAAATAATTTGCGTGAAATTTTACATAATTGTACTTTTTGTACTTAAGAAATTAGCTTTTGCTATATTAGTCAATGCGCTTTTAAACAATCACTGCATTTTTTAAGCCAATAATAAAAATGCATATATAATTGAGTTGATATCGAGCGATTTTATTTAAAAGCATCGACTGTTAATAAAGTTACTTCTAAGTGATAGGCGAAGGCTGCATAAAACTGTTGTATATGCATAAAAAAATTAATTTTATAAATTATATATTGATGGAAGTGTTTGCAACTGAGCCCCAGCAAATATTTTCAATCAATTATAATAAGTACGCATAAACTTGTGTGTGCAACACAAATTAAAATGTTGATAAATTAAATTAAAAAAAATATTAATTCAAAATCAGCCGCGAATGCAGCTCACTTTGGATGCTTCGTAACAAGCACTTGAATAATAAATCTAATGAAAAAAATAAAAATAACAATAAGTAGATAAGTCAAGAAAAAATATTAAGTACTTGGCAAAACTAAATGTAATTTAATTAACATATACTGTTGTCATTTCACTACAGAATAATAATAAAAAAAAAGTTGTTGTTTGTTATAATAGATATATTTCGCTTTTAAAATTAGCTGTATAATTAAGTCCTACACAATTATATATAATTTATGTAAAGCTTGATTATTCTTATGTAATAAATTAAACAACAAACTATATTAAATTCAATTTAAAAATACGTAAATTCAAAATAAGCGTAGAAGTTTAAAAAAACAAGAGATCCGTTTATTTCTCCCATAATTTACAAAGAATTGAACAAGTTTCTAAATAATTTGAAATTCTACCAAGCCAAGTCTCAGCGGGGTAGCCATACCAAAAATATTCATGACTCCGCAACTTGACAACATACAAAATGTTAATAAAATTTAATTTACATTAGGCTATGGAAAAGCTGCTATGGAAAACTGAAAAAGTACTTGAACAACAATAAAACCAAAGAAGATGTCTGTGAAACTTATAAGGAGCAGAAGGCGCCCGCAGCTCCGAGTCAATATCAAATACAGCAGCGCCAGGAGTAAAGCGAAATATAAGCTTCAGTCTTTTACAGTGGGAAGTAGTTGTATTCCTTTACCTGAGTATTAAGTTACATTTGAAGAAAGTGATAAGTATTTGTTTCGAGTCTTTATGCTTTACCTAAAAAAAGCTTAAGGCGTTAGCTCTTTATTTATTATTTAAACTTAATTCTGCAGTTAGGCAAGCAGCACACCTGCCCTCTTTAGCTGCCTCATTAATTAGCCTAATTTATTGCAGCTTATTTTCTAATTCTCTAATTTCAGCTAATCGACTTGGAAAACTTTTGTAAAGTTCTCCCCCCCAAGCACTCCACGCAGTTAACTCTGGCGCTGTTATTCTTCAATTGAGTTACAAATGATATTGTTTTGACAGTTCGAATTGCTTTCACATGTTCAATAACAGCCGTGACAGTCGTTAATTTTCTGTTCTCAATTAATAATAAATTCCACATGGACTTTGAAAATTAGTTATATGCAATAAATAAAACCGAACCTTCAGCTAATAAAATGCAGCAGCGCATGAGCCAACTCCATTTAGCTGGCCTTCAGCAAAATGGGTTTAAACACAAAAACAAATACGATGTTCGGGTAATTATTGCAATATGTTACGACTGCAAAGCATTTAAATATATATATAAATACTTTTGAACTTTTGAAGGTCAGAATTCGCGCCACTTCCAATTCGCACGACTTTCTTAAACACATATCGTTTGGTTTTGAAATGTATTTAAAATTTATGATCAGCAATCACAAAATTTCAAACAAATTTAGTTTACAAACTGATAAAATTATAAAAGAAAATTTATTTTCCTGCCTCAGGTATCCGATAATAATAATGACTGTTCTTTTGTCTTTTATTAAGCATACGCACTGTCAGCCTTTGTGTACTAAATGAAAACTTTTCATATGAAATTGATTGAAAAACTTTTGCCTGGCGTCAGGCAGCCAGGCAAGCAAATTGCGGCAAAGGGCCAAAGCAAACTCATGCGTCGTTAAGTGCAGCTACCAACAGCTTGGGCCGAAACCGTTAAGGCTTTAGCTCAAAGCGGGCGGCAACAATGTGCCTGCCACCCCCCGGGCACAGCCAACATCCGCCGGAATGCACGAGAGCATTTAAAGTGGACGTGCAGCAGGGCCTAAATTGCAGCCTGCCTGCTGCCTGGCCGCCTGTCGGCTGCACCCTTTGCATATCAGATTTAACTACAATTAGCAAGCGGCTGCAACGAGCGTGGCTGCCACAGCTGTGGTTGCTCTTTTTTGATGCCCATCAAACAGAACTAAGCTGCTTTGTACGCTGCAGTGTTGTTGGAAATCACTTGCCCACATCTCTACTGGCCAGTCATGTGTTCAGATTCCAGACATTAATATTGTAGCGTCGTTTGCTTAGTTGTTTTGAAAGCTTTAAAGCCGTTTGCCACAAGTTTTCACAGCGCATTAGCAAAGTCAACCATGTTGCATGTGGCACTTATAAACAAATACATCTTAACTCCTGTCAGGGCAACTGCAGCCAGGGGTCTCTGTGCCTTTCCGCTCTTGCCTGGCTACCACCGGCACATCTAATGAGTCTCATTAACGTAATTGCGTGATGTCTGTGCCAACTGGGAAGCACCTCTCCATTGGGCTTTCATACTAGTGCGGCTGTACGTTGGCAATTACTCTGTGCGAAAGCTAAGCTTAGCTATTAACAACAAATTATGGCTATATGCAACATATTACGAGTTTTTATATGCTGAGCTAAGTGTCTGATTGATTATTTATATATATGTATATATAGATAATATATATCACCTATTTTATTTCTTTGCTGAGAGTTCAACTTTGCGCGTCCAGTCTCTCTATATGAATGTGACATTCTCCTTAACTCCCTGCCCACTTGTTCTCACACGCTCACTCTCTGTCTCTCTTTCTCTCTCTCTTTCTCTCTTTCTTTCCCCCTCTATCATTCTCACTCTTATATGCATCACTCGTTCTCAATCACTTTCTATAATTTACTCGCTCTCATTGCATAGCATTGCCTCTCTATGCGATTTTCAAAATTCAAAGTAAGCCACATACATGAAAGGTTTTCATGCATTGATTTTACCTCTGCTGCTGGTAATTAAATAATACTCTTGGATAAGTACAAATTTTTGATAATTCTTTTAGTTTATTTATGTAAATAACAAATATGTATAAGCACTTTGTACCTGGACGGGTACCTTCCAGTATATTATTTATTTCTATTTTTAGTATTACTTGTATTCATTCTAAATTAAATTATTTATAATTATGATTAAGACAATAATAATCCCAAATGGCAACTTATCTTATAAGCCACCATTCAAGTAATCCGATCTGAAGCTTAACCTTAAATCCTACGTTTTCCAGATTTACAGCACTTTGCTGATCTACTCATTGAGCTATCTGCTAGCACAATAAGCCGGATATTTGAGATATTATTCATAATGCACTACTCTCAGCTGAAGCATTTCTGCTCCTTGCATCTAAAATAGTTTGCTGCTTTGTGCATTCAGCTTACAACGTTGCAGCTGCTTATATACACTCAAGTTGCTTGTGCAGCTTGCAACTTGTGGGTGGCTGCCATTCATAGAACGTTTGCCCACATTTATTTCGTGTTCAGCATGAATGCCTCATCATGAGCATTACTTTGAGCTAGTTATTGAAAATCATTGCAAGCCGTTCCGCATCACCTCCACGGGGGTGCCATAAACTGCAATTAGAACTGGGATTTACGTGATTTCCCATATGCAGTTTGAGTTGTGCAAATTTAAATCAATTGAGTAAAATCAACGAGAGCTACAAATTAAGTACTATGTATAACTAATGCATAACTCATTTAGCTAATGGCCACTTAAATTAAAATGTAATAAGCTTAATTTATAAGCTGCTGATGCTATCTAAAATTCACTTTACTCTAACCGAAATATTTTCGAAAAAGAGCAGCTTTATATGTAATTACTTTCGGGGCCAAGTCGTCTCGTTAGCTGCTATGTGAAGTGTCTGACCATTTCGTTGATGACTC